GGGTTGTTGTGCCCGAAGTGCAGGTCCCGGCACTTGGCCTTGATAAACCTCACACAGTTGACCTCGGTCCATCGGCCCAACCTGTCCAGGTCCCTCTGCAGGGCTGTCCTACCCTCGAGCAGATCGACACTTCCACCCAGCTTGGTGTCATCTGCAAACTTGCTGAGGGTGCACTCTGTCCCTAGGTGGTGTTACAATGCTTTTAATATAGTCCCTGCTGATTTACACCAATAAAAAGCAGAGCAGAATCAGGACTAACAATAAAGGTTCAAAAGTTTAACAGTAAGAGATATGTGATTGCATAGACAATATGACAGACATGCTTTACTCAGGACTTTTCTGGAAACTGTGCCATAATATAGACCTATTCATACCTGCACCATCTCCCAAGTGCAGACCATGCATGGCAGTTTTTTGCCTCCCAGCAGTATAATCCTACAATTCTTCCATTTCAGATCACATCCTTGGGTGACATATTCTGTATACTAATCATGACTGATCAAAACACCAGACTAAATTCAGTCATCTTACAAAAAAATGCTCTTCCAGAGCTGACTAGTGGGTGAATATGGCCAATAACACCTTTACAATAAAAAGTCTCAGTGGCAGGAGCACTGCAGAACAAAAAAAATTGTTTCAAAGGCAACAGCTTTTATGCCCCTGCTTCATCCAAAGCTGAGACAGGGCAACGTTCTCCCAGATTTGTGGTGTGAGGTAAAGAGCAAATACTCTTTTGCCTTCTCTCTTACTCCTTTTTCTTTTATAGGATTTAGGCTTTTATCTATTGCATGGTAATTTGATCCTGTTGTCTGTCTAAAAAGCCTCAGAGATTACAAGTTATGATTTTTCCCTGATGGGCATAGACTTCTAGTTATTCTCTGCACAGCCAGAGAGAAATGCCAGACTTAAGTGTTTGCGCTGTCCTGCTAATAATCATTAACACAAATCAGAGGCTATTAGAAGTGTTCTCCTGCTCTCCAATTTACATGCTTGTCTGGTTGTGCTGGAGTAAATATATGGCAAGCAGCACAGTGACAATCAGGTAACCAGTGTTAGTCAATATTTGCAAGGATTACATACATATTCCAGGATTTCTTATCTTCTGCAGCTCTGAAGTTCTTTCGTTTAGAAAGTTTCTTTTCTGAAAGTATTTTTGTTGTGAATATTACTGCATTCCCAATCAATGGGCACAAAAGGTTTGTGCTCTCAAAGTTCACTAATGAACAGATTTCAGAAAGGGAACAGCTTCACAAATGGAGAAGCTACCTACTGTGCTCTTTTAGTCATTTCCATGTTCTCCTTATAACTGCAAAAATAAATCACCAAATCTCTTTTCATGTGAATCTTTTGAATTTTTCAAGGATGGTGCAAGGAGAGAAGCATCAACAACACAGCTTAGTTGCACCACTTCACTTACATCTCCCCTATGATGTATTTTTAAGAAGTACTGCAAAATTCTGAAGCTGAACAAGACCTGCACCCAGCATGACTTGCAGCCCCTGTAAGCTGTAAGTGCCAGTGCTGCATTTGTCAAAGCAAGTTTGACCATTTCTCACTCATCTTGAAAAGTACAGAATTGCTGCTGGACTCTCTGCGAAGGTTTCACTCACCACCTAACACAACATGTATACACTCCTGCCATATGGTGATATTCCTGCATTTGGCTTCATAGTAGGAGAAGAGCTAGGATGGGCAGTATGCAAATGCCTCTGTAAGAAGTTATGTGACTTTGGGTGAACCAAAAAATAGATTTTGTTGTGCTAGTGGAATAATCTTCATGGTTGCTGTATACATAGCTAGGGAATAAGTTAAAATCTGTAGATATCCTATATAGTGGGTCAGAAAGTCCTCCAAAGCCTTGCAAGTGACTAGACTAATGGTGCCATCTGTGAAACAGCTACAGTTTGCACTAGGAAAAAAAATTGGTCTTTAGAGCAAATATATCATGCCTCTGGGAACAGACAGTAAAGTGCAGTTGATCAAGTCACACGGAACAAGATGCTCTTACTATCAACCAGGCTCAAGTCTGACTGGAGAAAACCTTTCTCTCCCTCCTTGTCTTTATCAAATCAGTACCGTCCTCAGTAGGGGTGTCCCAAGTTTGTCTCCTGCTGTTCATCCACTAGAAACACTGGTGGAGCAACATAAACACACCCTGGCTAGAAACATCTAGAGGAACACTTTTTGCAAGAGGGGAATCTGCCAAAGGCATACATCTCATGTATTTCCTTGCTCCAGCACTGTTCTACCCGAAGTAAAAGCAAGACCACCACTTCATTCTCAGAAGAAGGAAGAAGGCCTGTTCTGCCAGCAGCTCGGCTTAGTGCAGGAGAGGATTGCTTAGCTGTAGATTGCGTATCAGGGCCATGATCTCTGCCTCCACTATTTCTGAGCTTCACTCAAGTGCAATAAAGGAAAGAAGGCAAATAATTATGGCTACAACCATGGCAAGATGGAAAAAAGGGTCTCCCTAAGATTCTTCTTAGGTTCCTGCAGTGAATCTGAACTGCTTTGTTATACTCTGTAACAGAACAGGCCCACATATCCTATTAAATGTTAATTAATATCCTATTAAATATCCATATTAAATGGCTAATCCAAGGAACGTTCATTCTATTTCAAATCTCTTTACAATTAGAGAAAGAAACAGAGATTTTCAATGACTCTGCAGGAAAAGAAAGCAAAGAAAAAGCTACAATTTTCACCCTACCATAGAGAGCTCTGAGGGAAGAAACATTTTTTTCTATGGGCAAGGGGCATTATCTAGACTGGAGAAATAGGCATGTGGATAGGAGGCAGGACTCCTAAGTCTAATCCAGACTTTTCAGCTCACCATGTAGCTGTGGGAAAAGGGATGAACATTTCCAAAATAACAGACTGTAACCTTTCTGGCAATTCTACATACTGTTTAAAAATGTACTTATTAGTAAAATAATACAGAAATGTTTTAAACAGCTGTGTCTGCAACAAGTTATAGCTTTCTGAGGAAGCATCAATAAAAGCAATATGCATGTTAAAGGTTGCTTTTGGTAATGAGTTTTAAATGAATTTTCATTTCACAAAAACTAAGGTTGGGGCTGATAAACAAAATGCCAGTTTCAAATATTATTATTTTTATTTAATTCAAATTTTATTTAAATTTTAGAAATAATTTTTAAATGCAATCAAAAAACCTTAGTTTCTCCTGACTAGGCACTTGTATAAAATTCACTGTTGCACCTAGAAGTCAACAGGACTGTTCTGTGTTTGCTCACACAACCCGCTGTTCCTGAGAAGCCTGAATATTGAATGAGGAATTGCCCTTTGTGATTGCAACCTGGATTTCCTCATTCTAATTGACTAACTCCTAAATTCTTGCAGGTGTTCAGAAAATAAGAGATTTCTAACATTCCTTATATTCATCATCAAGGTATCTACACAACTTCACTGTGTATGTGAGTGCCTATCACCAAGCCTAGATTAGCAAATCCTTTTCTTTTCTATTTTTATACTATAGATTCTTCCAAGAACTTGATGACAACAGCAAGAGCCGAGTATGGAGGAGAGTTGTTATATCCTATTCTGGAGTCTTCACTTGGTAACTTATTAAATATAGCAAGCACTACCACAGTTCTCCTGCCCAGCTTGGAAAACACTGCAAGGAGCAAAATTCTGTGATATGCAGAAAGACAGTCAAGCACAGTACAGTACAGGGAAATGAAAAATACAACTAAATTCAAGCATTCAGGTGATTTGTGGATTACTTTCCAACAAGCTTAGTCCTGGAGACATGAATAACAGAGCAGAATGGATAAGGTACATTGGCTTCCCACCCTCAGGTTGGTCCATGCCTGGGGTGGACACCTAGACTAGCCTCATTCCTAAAAGGACTTCTCCCAGATGCCAGAGAGGTCCTGCAGCCCTCTTGCAAAATAAAGCGGACTGAACACAGACCCTGGCCTGCAGAGTCAGATGCACTGAATGTCGTCTGTTTGTCGATAGCTTTTATTTCATGCTGCAGTCTGGCTGGAGGAAAAAGCAAGTGAAGAATTTTATGGGTTTTTTGACAAAATGCCAGAGAATATGTTTTAGTCTTAGGATCCTTGGCACCCTTTTTTAAAGGAAAAAAACACATACCCTATTTAGGTCTGAAGTATTCAAAAACAGTACATACAAATACATCTGATGTGTCACTTAGGGACATGGTTTAGTGGTGGACTTGGCAGTGTTAGGTTAACAGTTGGACTCAATGATCTTGAGGATCTTTTCCAACCTAAATGATTCTAGATTCCATATTTCTATCTAAAGCACAGTCTCTTGCAGCATGCATTGTAATGAGGACCTGACATCTCTGTGACTTTGTATATTGAAGGAAAAAGCCTTTAGCACTCTCTGTTCCCATTAGCATACCTGTGCTAGAGCCAGGACTCATCCACAGAAGGAAAGCAACAGGAGTAAAGCTACTGGGGGCCTAAAGTGGTTCCCTGTTCAGCAAAGGCAGTGAAGTGGCTCTTCTTTGGCCTGCCAACACTAGTTCTAGATTTCATTTCTGTATAGGGTTTGTCCCCCAGACTGTCCTATTGTGCCCTTACATGCAGATTGCTAGGAGTCACCTCCTACAGCCTGAGATTAGATCTGACTCCTTCTTTGAAAAAGTTGCAGAAATGGAAAGCAGAACCTATCTCATTTAGAAAAGCTAAGCTCCAAAATGCAGTCAAATATATGTTATCATTTAACAGATACATTCTTCTCTGGGAAGAACATACCTCTGTGTAGGCCTGTGTTACTTGTTCATACAGGGTCTGATGATGATGGATGGCCAATTCCAGGTCTTGCATTTCTGAGGGGAGGCCTCCTTCACTGCACATTTTGCACCAGGCATCCACACCTGAAAGGAACTGAAACAATTCCAGGAACAATGAGCAACAGTGACACAGAAAAGCATCTCATCAACATTACAAAACTTTTTCTGTAGAGTGCCACAGATGACTGCAGCATGGACTGAGGAAAACGTAACAATTATAAAGGAGTCCTTTTGGACACCCTGGAACAGCACATTCCTGTCACCTTCTCAGTACTTGAAGAACACCTAGATCCAAAGAAATGTTTTCCGTTTCTTCTGGGTTAAAAACAAATGCTCCTTTAACCAGGCTCAGAAAACATCCATTCTGAGTCTTTGCATACCACAGAGGGAGGCTACAACATTGCGTTCCAAAAAGGGAGGCTGCAACATGTTTAGAAAAAAACATCAGCATGAAGCACAAAAGACACAGTTACAGCTCCAGCTGTATTTGGCATTGTCTTAGCTGTCAATCTTCCCTCACTCGCTTACCTGTCCTTAACACTACTAATTTGGGCAATAGAAAACTCCCATTAAAATCAATGCTGACATTCATTTCAGTGAAAGGCAGACAGTATTCAAGCAGTTCCCAACCCAGGGCCAGCTGAGTAGAATTACTAATAGGATATCAATGCTTTAAAGCCCTGGGTCACACATTTGATACCAGCCCAGGTCAGCAGTGATCAGATACCATTACCATCTAATGGCTGGCAAGCAGCCAATGAGCTGCTGGTCTCAGTCCAGTTCCTGGTGGGCAGACATCCATGAAAAGGGAGGGAAAAAAAAAAAATCATTGCCATTGCAATTGATATGGTTTAGCACCTTGGTTGGAAACCTTAACAGACAGCCAGAAACTGAACAGCTTAGGGGAGCAGAGGGATGGAAAAAAAATATTTTTCCACTCTTAAAGGCCTCCAGAGCAGTGCTGATGCACTTTGGCAGAACAAATTGGGGAAGTTCTCCTGGGTGCTGCCTGTTCTGTAAAAAAAAAAAAAGAGGAATTTAGTCTCTAAGGTTCCCATCCTGTTTTTCTTTTAAGCAGGGCTTACTTCAATGACACAGCTCACATGTTCACATTTTGTCCATACTAACTGCCTAATGCTACCTCATTACTTCTCATTAATATTTTCTCTTTCTCCATCTTTCTTTTAAACCAGCCTGCCGTACTTTTGGGCTATTTATAAAAAAGAACAGCTAATTATACAACAGATGCAGTGCCCTGTAGGGTGAATGTATAATGCCACAAAACCACCCCCAGGATCACAGCTTTATCCACTCCTGAAGTGTTCACCTGTGGCTTGTTAGTAAAGCACTCATTCACAGCATGAAGGGCTGTGAGATTCAAAGCAAAGAATTGCAATTCAACTCTGGCTCTGGCATCAGCATCCTTTTTTATTAGCAGTGTAAAGCTATTCACCATGCTGCTGTGTAATCAAGGCTATAAAGTGTTTGCATTGTAAACACTTCTTTTCAGTGCACAAACATTCAGTGACAAAGATGAATTCCTAAATGTTCATGTCTACAAAGTACAAATCTACCAGTGAAAACTGCTTTCTAGAAGACTGGAGGCAAGGATGGCAGGTTCTCTTGTGTTGGTTTGACTCCTGATCTGTTGAATCTCTTCAGATGAAATCCCCAAACTCCTTTGCATAAAGCTGAAGTCATCATATTTTGTGCCAAGGCAGTGGAATTCACATCATTTCCTATGCAGTTTTAAGAGCATGGAGTTGAGATCAGTCCCTTTTGGGGCTGTTACATGAACCTCTTGATCAAAACAGTGAACAAAAGACCTTTACACCTTATAGACCAGTGTTCCTGCTGCTGGAATCACACTGTTTCAGATCTTATCAAAACTGCTGAATTCTATCAATTTTAGTACAAGCGTTTAGAGTCATGTTACTCATATACTGCCATGTCCCCAGACTGTGATTTGCATAGGAGGTGGGAGAAGTCTCAAGAAGATCCTATGCACATAACAGCATTTCCACCTTGTTGTCTCATCTATCTATCTTTTGTGTATCCATTGTATATAGACAATGTTACGTCAACAATTACATCAGTAATTTCACTTCTGCCACTAGCAGGAGCAGTTGACGTCATCTGTTTTAAAAAGTTTTAAGAAATGCAGTCTGTCAGTGTTTTACTCCAATAACCTGAAACAGTACATGGTTGTCTGTGCTGTGCATGTAGATTCATATGGGGAGAGCAAATGGGTTTTTTTAAGGATTTTTGCGAAGTGTTTGTTCATACCATAGGACTATTGATTTGGGTATTTTGAAAAAAACAGCTATGTTAATTTTTATTATTTGTCAGACACTGTGGCAGACACAAAAAAGTTTATTAAATGTAACCCTTCATACTAAAAATATATTCATATCACAAAAATCACCATTTGACTGAGTTGAAAAAAACATGTATTTAAAATTGTATATTGCTGTTAGGTTGGAACAGGAGCTGTTACTGGCCACCGGATACTCAATACCATTTAAATTAATTGCTTAAATTTCTAGTTAGCCCACCGAATAGAATAACTCCTACTAGGAACATAAAAGCTGCCTAAATATGATTTGAAATGACAGGCTCAAATAATTGTCCATGTTTTTCAAGACTTCAGGAAAGATTAAGAAAAAATTCTCCTAAAAAATAAAAAAGTCCCTAAGGTGCCTTTGTGCCTCTGATCCAATCCAAAAGTAACTTAAAGGTAATGACCTACACTTACTCCTGACTCACAACCTATACACCTAAGTTACAAATTCTGTATTATGTCAGGTAAAAATGTATTCTCAGACCACTTCTTACTAGCTTTCCTTAGGGACTGCTATGCTGTATCACATGGTTACTCCAAAACACAGTTCAAAGCTTTTATAGTCTATATTTCTCCACATTTTCTGAATTTTTTTGCCTATGGCTTGCTAGGCCTCTGCGTGGAAGCTGCAGGATAACCAGGCTAGTTCCCCTAGGCCCTGGAGAAATTAAAACCAAACTCTAGTGTACTTTCATGCTCCAGAATGGCTGTGGGGAAAGATGGGAAGGCGGCCATGAAATTGTTTTCCTCAGTGACCTATAATATCTCTTGATGCCCTGAATTTTTTGTATAAGGCTAATTGTATATTTCCTGTTGTTGTTTCTGGAATTTCCCTATCTAGTGCAGAAGTTATCTTGGTCTTATCCCTGCATCTTATAGATATGAACTGGCTTTTCCTTTCCTCCCTTTCCTCAAATTCTTCCCCCCCCCCTCCTTTTTTTCCCCCCTCTCTTTTTCATTTCCTTTCCTCAAATAGGGGGGTTCAGGATGTGCTTAGAGAGATCCAGACAGAGATGAAAACAGTAGTCCTCCTGATTGGGGAGTAAGGTAAAATGAAACAAATAGCCAGGGGTCAGCCTTCAGAGAATCAGCATAAATGTCTAGCGTGTGCACCTAACACCTACTACCTTAAATAGTAATTCTGCTTGTGCACTTCTGAGGGTAGACTCTGACCCAGAATTAATTGCTTGAAATCTCATGGCTGATTGAAGACATTAATTTGTTCATTCTGACAGGATCTGTAGAGTGAGCATCTTACGAATACTTTAGCACACTTTCAGAGATTACACCCAAGAGAGGAAGGACACCTGGTATCTCTGCTTCCCCTATATGGCAGTTAGTGGGCCAGAATCTCATCTGGTGAAAATCAGCACAGTTCTCTTGAAATCACAGTGAGATGAGGCATGTTCTCCTACATTGTCTTGCAACTTTGAATAGCCTCAGACATACCCAAAGAGACAGAAGCAGATTCTTTTTTACACTAGATTATCTCCATGCTCGCATGAGAAAGGCCGGGGGGAGGAGAGAAAAGAAGGAAAAAAAGCCCCTAGACTTTTGTAGCAGGTGGAATTAAGGGACACTTGGGAAACACCTCCACTGAATATCTTGAGTTGCACCTTGACCTGGACATAGTGGTTGTTTGGAGTTTAGTTTACTGGCTTTTGATCAAACACATGTGCTGAAGGAAGCCTGGCTGAAGGCTACATTGGCAATATTTGTCTTTTCTTTCTTTCTTTCTTTTATTTCCTTTCCTTTTTTTTCCTTTTCTTTTCTCTTGTCTTGATGATGGTGTAGTATGTACAAATTGTGTTTAAAAAATTGAAGGAAGACACACACATGCGCATACACACACGCAAAAGAAGAAAAAGCAAGAAACAAAGGAAAAAAAAAAAAGCTTTGATCCAGGAACTCATTCAGCCGATTTCCATTCAACATGCCACATGTATCTGCAATAAGAGCCAGGAAAGCAATGCAATTCTGAAGCACGTGAAGACAGATGTGAGGTTCAACTCCCAGCAGGGTTGACTCAGCCTTTCATCCTTCCAAGCCAGACAAATTGTATTCTGTGCAGTTTTCTGTGTGGGGTCTTTAGGAAGAGACCTTGAAAAACAAGTTGCTTCCTGCTCAGCTTGCATATTATAGAGATCTTAGAGCTTTTCATAAATCTCTGTCCCAAGCCAACAACTTCCTTGCAGGATGGGGTGTGGCAAAGACTGAAAGATTATAGACCTAATAGACTTGCTTCCTGTTGGCATCATGGGGAACTTCAATCAGTAGGAAGGAATGAACAAAGAGACTGTAGCAGCGTATTGCACTGCAGAAAGAAAGACAATCTGCATATCAGATCAGTATGAGGAAAGCAAGGTTACACTATGGGAGAAATGGTTGGATCTGCAACAAGACTACCTTTTCTGACAGAACAAAGGGAGCAAAAAAAGATTTGATCTGGGACAGAGGAAATAGTGGGTTTATCTACATCTTTGTTTCACAGATTTAAGCCTTATTTATTGTAAAACAATGAAGCCCTGATGTGAGTAAAAAAAACCCCAAATCCTGGGTGATGCCAAATAACAGAGTGTCACATTTGGAATTAATATTTGATAGACAGCTGACTGAGTTACAGACCAAATCCCAAACACCTCACTTTTTATACTATACAGAGGTCAAATGACTAAATTATTAGCATTCAAGTCATTGGCTATTCCTACCAGAGTTACTAAAGCAAGGCCAAAATTTTAGTCCTGGCTAATGGATACACTGACTCCCGCATTTCTTTTTTGTGGCAGTCTGAATTTACAGGCTTCACATCAGCACTTATCTTCCACTGAATTGTCTCTTATTGCAAGTGAGGAGTAACTGCTGTTCACAATTAACAAATTCTCCTGTCTGCTTAGTAATGAGAGACTGACTTCTGTCAGGCAGCACAAACTTCAGCTCCTTATGAACAGGTGCCAAGGCAGGACCGGGTTTTTCAGACCTATCCATACAATTGTAAAGAAATAAGACCCAAAGCTGAAAGTGACATTAGTGTAGCTTTTTTTCAAGTTAAGGCTGAGGCAAAATACCCACTGACAGTGTTCAAAAGGTAGGAAGAAAAAAAAAAAAATCACCTCTAGCTTGACAGACAGTTCAATACAGCTTTCTGGTTTATTGCCTTTCACGTTATACAATACCTCAGCAACTCCTCATAAATTCCAAACAAGACTGACACTTCAGAATAATAGGGGATCGCTCATTAAAAAAAAGACAAAACCCCCCAAAAACACCAAAACAAACAAGAAAGAACTAATTCATTAATAAACCTTAAACATCCTCATTGTGACTATAGGCTGGATATAAGTTCTTTTTTGATTTTTCTTGATGGACATATGATGACTGACAACTATTAACATGAAGACTACACCTAAACACTACAGTGCCCGTTGTACTGAGATGAAAGTACTTGTACTGGGCATCTTTGTGTATCAGTCCCATCAGAGCCACTGAGTGTGCTTACATGAGTAAGTGCCCAGTAGGGTGAGTAATTGCTCTATGCTATGGCCTGTTGTCAATAGGAAACACAAAATAAAGAAAAAATCGTTATAATTCTGTGGTCAGAAACCAACAATAAAGAAAGTCTTTACTGTTTGAGCTAAACTTTTCCATATATATATTCTGGCTTATGAGGCACGGTTTCTGGCTTATCAGCTATAATTTCTTCTTCAGACACTTGAATTATAGGTCATTTTATAAACATCAAGCACACTCACTTGATATTAACTACTTGGAAAAACAAGCACATAACAATACTGAAGAGAGCCCCAGAGCAGTGTTTGTCACTGGAAAATGAATGTAATCAACATATGATCAAAGTTGAACCATCACAGTTAGGTGGACTTGGTTTAGGTGTAAAAAAAGCAGAAGGTTTATTCACTGACATATTTTAAATCTTTTGTAGCTGTGAAATTACAGAACAATTCTGGTACTTGTTAAAGACACAAACCAGAGTTCAGGGATATGGAAAATTTTCTTGGATGTTCCTTGCTGTTTCTAAACTCTCCACTTAGCCCCAAACTTTGTTAGACCTCACTATGGAGAGCACTGCATGAGTAGGTGGTGGAGCAGATTCCGTAAGTTTCATTAACAAAAATGTGCTTTGGCTCCTAGAAATTGTCTGCTGGTATGGGTCTATGTCATATGTGTGAATATTCCTGTGCGCATAGCACATACCACGTATGAGTGCAGATACATACTGTTTTCCTGGGTGTAATAATCCTGAATTTATCTACAGCACTGATGAAATATTAGGAAACAGAAATAAGGCAGCATGTTACTGCACCAGTGCACTTCAGTTATGATCAGATTCTCTCTCATCACTAAGGCATAAACATATTTTCTTACCCACTCAAGAAATGTGCCAGTTTTGGGGGAGAAATATTACTATTTGTTTTTGAGACACTCATCCACTAGGAACAAGGCTCTTAACCTCACTGCATATAAGCCAAAAACCATCAGGTAATATTGCAGCAGCATCATTATCAACATAGCAGTGGATCATTTTGCCAGTCACAAAAGCAGCTCACCTGTTCAGCTTTCTGGTGAAAGACAGCAGACATGGCTAAGATGGTGCTGCGCTCATCCAGAGCTGCAGCAAAACTCTTCCACTCTTGATCCAGCTGGCTAGATATTTGCTTAATTTGCTGGGAAGCATAATGGCCTGCCTCGGAAAGCCTTGATGCAACAGACATGATCCGATTGATGTTGACATAGGCATTCTGAAAATTAAAAAGCACACATAAATAAAGAGAAGGAAGAACCGTGACCACCCTCTGCCTTCATTACACATTCCAAACACCATCAGTTGGAGTAAAGCCGAGCAGTTCAGTGAGAGCAATCAACCACCTGCTTAAATATGCATGAATAGCAGGCATACTACCTTCCACTCTAAAAACACATCCCTCAGGAATCTTTTTACACATCTATACCATTATCTAACACTGTTATCTACCCCTCTCCCCTTGAATTTATTTATGTAAAACTAATTTGCCATACTTTAGCTATTTACTCACCTGTTAGGGTCTACTCATTGCCTCTATCTTATTCTTGATATTTCTGTTGCATTACTCTATATTTCTGGATGCTAAATCCACATTTTTATAAGTGAAATGTTTGCTTTCTGTCCTTTGAGAACTCTCTGACAATCTTTTATAGACATGCAGTGTCAACAAATGGAAAAGTCTTGTAGACTTTAAAAGAGCTCATAAGCATATTCTATAGAAATATAAGAGTTTCCATAGAAATTACTATTAAGTTATATTCTTCAGTTAAAATGTTATCTTTTCTGCAGGTTAAGCTGTTCTCCAGCAGAGATATCATCTAACTACATTCTGAATTTAGAAGGATTCAAAAATCCTAGTAAAAGGGTAATATTTTCTGTTCTTTGATAAGAATTTTCCATGATGGTTTTTATTCAGCCTTGAAGCAGTGGAGGATAGTTTTTTCTCAAACTGAACTGTGGACAGCAACATAATTGCATTGCAATACCCCCGTTCTGCATAGGAACATAAACCTGAAAAGAAATAGCCATCATGACAATGTCTTATGAAGATGCACCATCAAAAGGCAAACGACAGCTGCCTTGCAGATTTCTGGAATGTCATTTGATGTAAACACTTCTTTCTCTTTCCTCTTCACCAGAGGAAAGGACATCCCAAAATTTGAGATGTTTTGCTAATGTTGACTCACTGTTTTCTTGTCTCACTAGAGTATTTCAAAAGGGCTTTAGGAATTTCAGAGTAGAATCTGTAAGACCCTTATGCACAAGGACAGACACAGCCCTGATGATTTTAACAGTATTACTCATGGGCAAATAGTAAATCAGAGGTGGAAGCGTTTCTTGGAGCAGGATCTCATCATAGTGAGTGGGAGCACAATGTGGAAAGGTATCTGCCAATCCAAACATGAAACACAACAGAGCACTGCCAAGGCAGGCACAGGTCCAAACTAAGTTGCGAAGTAGGGCAAAGTATGTCTGCAAAGTGTGTGGGACAGCTACGAAATACACTTGTCATACCTGTAGCTGCTAAAGCAAAGAAAGATGGGGCCATAGCCCTTACAGCTGCTCTGCTCTCCCTGGTAGAACCATGACTGTGACAGCTGTCACATAAATAACACAGATCTAAAGCAATACGCAGCCTCCAGTTTTGTTTTTTCCCATTATCACATAGCCTTTTCTTAAAAATGGGATTTGGCTCAAAATTGTCAGATTAATTTTAAAGAAATTAAAATATTTTTTTCAGTACAATTAGAGAAACCTACCAAAATTGTTCTGGAGTTTAAAGTATACTAAAAAAGATATTATGATTTGGAATTTTGACCACCAGCTGCAGTCAAACACTTTTTGTCCCTCTAGGTTAGAAATTGGAATTTAGACTAAATCTTTAAGCCTTTCTCCCAGAAAGTCTTCATGGCTGAGCTGCAGCCAAGATAATTTTGCAACATTTCAGGTCAGCTGTTCTGGTGGAAAGTAGTGTAGCATCACTGCAGTTGCTAAAGCTTGGATGAGTTGCGCCAAATGAAGACATGGAACTTTGCTGTGTTTGAAGGAAAAGAAAAGTTGCTGAAGAAGTTTTGATTTCATGTAAAAAAATAGTTGCTTTTATCTTTTTTTTTTTTTCCCCTGCAGAATTATCTCAGCCATTGCAATGCAATGAGCATGGAGGAAAACAATTGTTAATTCCTTGGTTCCCTATAGCTACAGTATACAGATGTGCTAACTAGTAGAAGGGTAAAGGTAAGATTAGTTGAAATACAGCAGATGTTCTTAAAGTCTGTTTTGATTTATATGTTGTTATGTCTGTTTGTTGTATTTTTTATACAGAGATGAGGATTTTTATGGATGAAATTTCACTTTCCTAGATGAGAATTTTTCATGGAAGAGTACCAACCCATCCTGTAGCCAACCCACTAACTCCATAGTTTTTCGAGCAGAAAGCAAGGAGCAGTTTGGGAGTCACCTGCTCACATCTCTGTTCTTAGTGCACCAAGTGGAACTGCCTCAGGAAACAGAGACTCCTGAGCTTCCCCTGTTGCTTTCTGAGCAATAAATGGATTCAAGTGCAATATCACATGTGATGTGCTCTTCTGTTTAGCTCCAACAGGTAGTGCGATGGAGATACCTCCCACTTCTGGACACATGCATTCTTTACCTCCACTTTATCCGTCCCACCTCAGTGAAGCAGAGACATTGAAGTGAGTCTTGGACACATAAGATGTGTCCAAGGTCTCACAGAAAAAAAAGACAGAGCAAAGACTTGGCTAAAGATCTGGAAATCAGGAGAGCACATCCTACCAAACATAACCCATTTTACAACCTCAGGACCTTTACCCAGGTAACCCGTTTTACAATCTCAGGACCTTTACCCAGTGTCACTATTATTGGGAAAGATAGGATCTCTGGGAAAAACTGGGAAAGATGGGATCTCTGTTGTGGATTGAGGTAAAATGCAATATGACTTCAAGGCACTCCAGAATTTAGTTTCAGGAGGAAAACATTTAATTGACCACAATCCACAAAAGCAAGACATTTCTTTTCCACCTTAAAGTAGAATAAAATTGTAAGCCACTTTTCTTCATCTTTATCTGCCAATGTGTAATGTTCTGAGTAAAATGGAACAAAAATCTATGCTGCCAAAATTCAACTGTCAACATTTCACAAAGTTAAACCTTCCTTTCCCTCTGGTTTGTTCACCTCTAAAAACTGAATGAACTGAGATTTTTCTATGTCACTATTATACAGATCTTTATATCCTAATAGGAAATAAATTAAATAGAGCAACTAACATCTGTGACTATTTTTTCTTTAGGCTGGAAAATTCACTACTAGCAGGTTCATAGAGAGTCTTACTTTAAATATAACCTAAGGCTGCATCTTTTTTTCAAAACTGAGAGGAGTCCCCAAAGAGGACTGCAAGGGATAACTGATTTATGGCAATATAGGATTACAACAGGTCAAACAATGACAAAACAATATACTAATGTCTGGAAGTAAGGGTAAAAGCACTTCAATTGACATTCTGTTGCCGGGACACTAGGATATACCCAAGTTTTGGCTAATATATATCCTTTATCGTTGAAAAAACTTTCTTTTACATGTATTCACAGACTTTCCAAAAGCACTCCCCATGTTAGAGTTAATTTTTCATTTACTTTATTTCACCTTTGAAATTTTAGTCAAAAAAGAGGATTTTTGCCTTCTAAAAATCACTTGACTGGCAAACAAAAGAAAAATTTCCCCACAAGCACCTCAGCATCATGATATGCAAGAGTTTCTTTTACAGTTTAGGAAAGCCTTCTGCAATGCCTTGCAAGTGCACATACCCCTCTTTGTCCACCAATTCTTAGTCCATTTCTGCACCTAACCAAGGCCTTCATTCTGGTCATCAATGTCTATAACATAGCTGCTCCTTCCAGTGTAAGGGGCCACTGCTAAGGTCCTTAACACTTGGTAGGATAACAGACCTCAGTCTCAGCAATAAGCATTGACAGTAGCAGAGTTTTAACTGTGGAATGATCTCCCACAGGGAAATACACTGATTCAGCCCCGATCATGTAGCAGGCATGCTAGGAGACCTTCCCTCTTAATTAGCTGGAACAATACTTTCTTCTAATACATGTATAAAAAGAATACTTCACACTCACAAAAGAAAAATGAGCAGTGAGAACCATTAAATCTGCAAGGAACTTGGCTGTGTTCATCTCATTTCCTAAAGAACTAGTTGAGATATTGTGATGGCTAGCAGCGAAGGTGGGCTGCAAGAGAAGGGTTTTGCAGATTAATTGAAGGTGAAATTTGATTGTTGAAGAGTTCTTCTTTAAAATAAAATAAAAAAATAACCAGCTTGCAATGTGTTACTGTGAGTTTAGAAACCATCTGTGAAATGAATCTGAAACATAAATCCAAAGCAGAATGTTTCAGTGACAAAATAAACTCATGAGATATCTTTAAGACCTTTAAATTTCTATAACAAGGCCAATTATATGTAGCCTGTTGCAGAATAATATTGGATGGCATTTTAGCTCAGCCTACATACAGAAAAATACCATTCATTTAAGATAAATGTTGGGAATTTTCAACAGACATCATTAGCCTTTACAGGGTAATTTTAACGTGTTTGAAATATATTGCAACTTTCTTAAGACAGCATGCATCTCCATCTAGTGCCAGACAGCTAACTCCCTGACAGCAGGATAGGCAGCAATGCCAGCACTGAACACTGCCATTTTTATGCTTGTCCCACAGAAAGTGATAACTCATTCTTTAAGGAGGTTAACAGATCCAGTCATAAAAAAGCCCTGGCAAAGGAAATATGAATAACTTCAGTTGGAACAAATGGCACGTATACCATGTATCCAAGTACAGAGCTACGACCAGTATGTTTTGTGTCATATTGAAACACTGGGTTTTTTTCTCTAGTGAATTTACTAGATTATTGAGACTACTCACAAAATGTTGGAGCTAAATATTCATCTTCATGAAAAGATTATTGCTTCGGTATAAACATTATACAGCTGTGATAAAGACTAACATGATTTATTTTGAAACTGAAGTGAAAACAAGCACTGCCTTGAATCACAGAAAAAAAAAATCTATGGTCCTTACTTGAAAGAAAACTGTAGTGTGGTATTTTATTACCTAAATACATGAGTTCTCCACATCCCACATTGTTAATTTAAAAGGAAGAATTATTATTGTAAAAAACAGAGTAACAAATTGTTTTTCCAAGAAGGAGCTTTGGTCACAGCATGCCTATAGAGATTTATAGGAAGAGCATGTGACAAAAGGACAATAAACATTTGGAGAGTGTATTTTCTAGAGGAACTGAAAAGACTATTTTAACTATTATTAGTTATGCCAGGCTCAAAGGCCTGGGCATAGAGTAAAGAAAAAACAAAACAAAACACCTCAGAGATCCAAGATCTGATCCAACTTCCACTGAAGTCTGTAGGGTTTTTCCCTGAAAAACATACAGACATCCTCAGCTACATTGTCCTCTTCCATATCCTCTCTCAATACTGATTTTAATGTATTGACAAAACAAAACAAATCCCCAAAGCCATAAACAACCCCAAGCCCCACAACCAATAAGAGTGCTTCAAGTTTTCATTATTTTGTTACTCAGATTCATGATAGCTGAACTGTTCTCAATCCAGCCGTTGCTGGAACTAATATATTGCATAAAATAAAGATCTAGCTAAATTATAAAGCAAATTTCTAGCAAAATCACAATTATAAAGCAAATTCCCAGAGAAAAAAATTTATAGTGTGATCTAGTTTACCCTTGAGACTCAGAAACCAAAAGATTTATATAAGAAGAAGCAGCACCATTTAACTGGGTTTGAAAAGGCATTCTTCTTGAACCAACCTCTGTGTCTTGAGCCCGAGGCATGGTAGCTAAATATTTCAGTTTTGTAATTAGCATGAGAGAGCTTGAAGGCTCATCAGATATGAATCTGATATGAATGTTTTAATTTATTAAAACTCACCAGATCTTAACTTTTCCAACTTGGGTGGGTCACAAAACTCTACCTGGGACTGCAAACAGATCTGAGGGTAATAACCTCCCCATTCTCTGGTAAAGAAACAGGAAGGATTCCTGTCATTTTCTTTTTGCAGCCAAGGGTATTACATGAAGAGATTGAGGAATACTGGATTATAGACACAAATGAGTACATAATAAATTCACCAGAGTTATAGTTTTCTCTAATCCTTAACTTCACAAATATTTATCAGTGGGTAACAATGCAGGAAGATTCTTGATATGCAAAAGTAACTTATGTATATAAATACTGTAGGAGCAGAGCCTTTGGCAACAGATTGCAAGGCAAAGACCATTTCTTCCTTTGAAAGTGTATAGCACCTAGAACAGTGACCAAAACCTCCTACTCTTACTACAATATAAATGTTATCAAATAACAGGCACTATTTTCCAACATTCTCCAACAGAAATCAAACAGTAGCATGAACAACTGAACTAAGATGTTGTCATGAAAGCAAGGCAGTTGAATGAAGGCGGTTGTGCAGTAGCAATCACACGATTATGTCTTTCTAACATCACTGACTAATTTTCTTAGAGAAAGCTATGTTGGATAAAAAACCCCAAACCCATGTAATCAGACTGTGTATCAGAAAACCTGTCAAAACATGCAGACCTTGTATATCTTACCTCAAGAAGCTACAGTTAGCTGTGGCAGTTCCTTCCTGCTAGTTTCTGTTATCAGCAAGACTCTCACTAAACTGTTGTTACACATGAAAAAGACCCAATCCATATTTCTAGCCACACTTCTCCAACAATCAAAAGTATAGCTCAGATTGCTGTGTAGGCTTGGGGTATGTAATGTCCTACCGCTATGTTCAGAGTCATCACCCAACTTTCTCTGGTATTTGCTCATTCAAATAAGTCAATCTGTCCTGAGTCCATTGCTGACCATGACTGGCTCTTGACTTGAAAAAATGCAGGGGCTTCATCCTTACCACAGAGTTTCTTCACACAGGCTTGCATAGAGTTTTTGTGCGTGCCGAGACAAAACTACCATCTAGCACAGGAGCTGGGCTGTGGTCAGGAAATGGTCATTTTAGTTTCAATCTCCTCTTGCTCTTCCTTCATGCTTTACCACAAATGGAGTGACTAGTATGCAGCCCAACACCCCTATGTAGCAAGCTGGGGTCTCCTGCATGCTTACACCCTCTTACTCACAATACTGACTTTTGGAGACACCAGGAGTCACTCCATGTTTTTCTAGCAAAGAATCTGCTCCATCTAAACAAAAGAGCATCACTGCTGACAGCAGCACTACACTGACGTAAGAACAGCAGCTCCAGGTTAGTTCAGGTAGCCTGCAGCTTAAGGTTATTACCCTTTTCCCACTATTTTCCAAATGTCCTTTCAGCTTGATATATCCCCACACCTGCTATTCCAAAAACAGGATGCCCAGCCGCCTGCAAGACATCAGTCCTGTTTAATTCCACAAGCCAGCCTCACCAGGCTATAAAACTCACCTCATTTACCAGCCTGTGCAACCCTGGCATTGAAATCCCCTCTAGAAAGGCCATTGTGCAGACACAAAACCAAAATACAGGCCTTTCAGCAATATGGAAAATCTTGAGAATCCTATTTGATCATGAGGAATTTCAGGCACTGAGTAAAACTCTGATATTTCTGACAAATACCATGGAGACCTCATTTAGATTAAAAAAAGACAAAAAAACAACCCCAAAACTGCAGTCTTGAGTTGCATCTGTATCCTGAAATATTTCTATAGTCTTTTTTACCCTGACTTTGCCATACTGTCAATAATACAACTCCTTATGTAACCTCTGTTTGACAACTGAAATCTGTTGAATTTTTTAAAAATGTTCCTACTGAGAGAGCATATCACAAGAATTTTTTAAAGTGGCAATCTAAGTTGAATGAACTGTGCCTGTTCACTGTATGAATCGATGTTGATCCAAAACCAAAAGGAAGACATCACCCCATCATCAGAGGGGATTCTAGGTCTAAAATTCAACTAAAGCTAAAAGAAAAGTAGCATATGGAAAATAACGTACAGGTGTATTGCTCTCTGAGTTATATTCCTATAAGGAGGATTATCTGAGAACATATATATCATTTGGCATATTTGTTATATTGTGGGATTCCTCCACGGAGTCATATATTTCAGTCCAATTAATTAGAGCAGAATTGAGTGCCATCTCTCACTGTACTTAGAGGTTGAAAGTTAAAGGTGCCCAGTATTCATGCCCTTCCACATAGATCCTCTATGCTAAAGAGATGGAGGAGACAATCTTCTTTGTAGATTGATTCATGCTGACTGTATGGGCTTCCATATGACTATACATGTGCGTGGCTTATACTGGAGGCAGCGCAAAATGGGAGGCGCATCATCTGTCGCACTCTTACCCCTCAGCCAAAAAGGTCCCTGTCCTGGGCAGCTCTATTAGGAGTCTGGCAGCACTGAGACGGTGAGATGGCACAGCTGCAGGCCACAGCGCAGCCACTGAGAAGTCCCGGTCCCCAGAAGCTCCCCCAAGATCTTTGCAAATGTCTCACTTCCTTGCATTCCTCATTCCCAAAAGTTCACTTGGGGACAGATGGAAGAAGAATGGAGGAAAATAATTTTTCTTCCGTTAGGTGGCACCCTCCCTGTCACTTGTTAATTTTCTATTAACCACAGTTATCTCTTTCCAAGTTTAGCTCCCAGTTATTTTAAGAAAATAATACCAGACAGTACCACAAAAAGGATAAAGGGAGGTCCTCCAGTTTGACTCCTCTACTGAGTTTTCTGAAGAATTATGACCGACTTAGCACCTTTCATAGTCCAAATAACTTTTAATGCACTAACCCCAGGGCGCATTTATTTGTTAGGATTCTGTGAGCAGCAGTGTTATATGGAAGCTGTGCTATCCTGTATTTTACTACATGGCATTGCGATGGCAATCAGGTGCCTAGAGCCTGTTTTTCAGTGCTCCTTTCAATTACAATCACAATAAATACATAAATAGACATTATAAACATTTCTCATCTTCCACTGTTATGCAATGCCCTAGTAAGGCACAATGCTTTAGTGAGGAATAGCAAGGTAGGTGGAAATCGTGGGTGAAATTTAGGTCAGAGAAGTTAATTGCTTTATCTGGAAATTGGCCAAAATACCAGGGTTAACACCTGTAATCTTATGAAAGCAGTGTGAGGTCTTTAATGACCTCAGGTAGTCAGGACCTCTTTTTCACATTTCAGACGGCTGCTCTCAAGTACTTTGCCCTTTGGCAGCATAGTAGGGTGTGGCTCTCTAGTGACTTACACCACCAACTTAAACATCAAACACCACCTTTGAGGTCTCAGCCCCAGTACACGGTGCACAGTATGAAGAAGTACACCTGTAGGAGTTGGTTTACTCAGGGCAAGCTTTTGTGTAGTTGACAGCATTCAGAGAGGGCTCATCTCTGCATTGTGCAATCGCTGCAGGGGGTATGCATGTATTTTTCTAACCCAGTGCAACAATCAAAACATCAATACAATCTGTCCTCATTTCTGTGCTGAAAGCAGAGCTGTTTCCAGAAGAAATACCTCATGTCTGGAAAGAGTAAGAAAGTGAGCAAAGCACTTATAAGTGCATGATGATGCTTTTTATTTTTTTTTTTTAAAAAAACCCAAAACCTAAGGTAAATTGAGTTGCGTTCAAAAAGACTGACCGATTAACTACTGAAAAAGCCAAAATCCCACTGTGGCCACAACTGACAGTTTGATTAGTGTCTCTTTTTCCAGGCTTTGAAAAGTACCTTAGCAGGGTGTGGGGGGAGAAGCATAAATTATTAACGTGCCACCTACAGCTCTCAATTCCCAGTCAAAGAAATATCAAAAATTTAAAAAAAACATTGTATTTGCTCTCCAAAATGTAAACAAACTCCACAGGACTGTGCTGCTCTTAGTCAAGGAAGTAATCATATATCAGTGCCTGGGTGGACAGAGCAACGCTGGGCTGCTGCCACAGCCCAGCCTGACCTTCCTTACTTCGCTTCTCACGGGTCCATAGTGCTCTCTGAACTGGAAGAAGCCTCATATGCCAGCCCTTTCCTCACTCACGTGCTGTCCACAGCGTGCCCTAAACTCACCATGGAATTCATGGCAAAGTGATTGTGCTGCGTCTGTAGGTCAAGAGCATGTTGGTAGCTCACGCCGATCTCCGTGTGACTCTGCAGGAACAATTCTTTGTTGTGGCTGATCCAGTCAAACATCTAGAAGTAGTCACACAGGACACAGAGGAAAAAAAAAAAGTGTTAGGGTTGAAAAAAATAGGAGACAGTGCAAAATATAAAAATCCACAGTTCTGAGACAGATGTATATGCAACACAGACAAAAACCCCTCATCTATGTTTCTCATCAAAATAAGCTGTTGTCAAGCAATGGAAGCATTTAAGTTACCAACATATTTCATTATTAACAGAATGATAGGTCAGGAAACATAATTCATAAAGCATGTTCCGTTCCTCAGTAAGCTGATCCCATAGTCTTTGCCTATAAGTAATAAGAATGTCATATATAGAAAGGTGGCAGCAGAGGGACCTCAAATCAGGGGTTGCTTCACTGACTGAAGATCTAGTAGTTCATAAAGTACCCTTAATCCAGAAATGGACCAAAAATTCCATAAATATTATTGATGGGATTTTCTCACCCCCTTTTTTCTTCTATACATAAAGGTTCCAAATGTTACATTGAAATAACCAGTTGAATTCCTACACTTATATTTCCCATATCTTTCCAATTCCAAAGCCAGAACCCAGTCTTTCACTTACTGTTTTTGGGATGAAGACAGAAAAAGAAAAAAAAAGTATTTTACTAATATCTATAAAGAGTACACATTTCAACTTCTCCCACTTCCAAATGTATTTCCAAGCAAAATGGATAGTCCAGTAATTCAGACACAGATAGAAATATATCAAATAAAGCTGATGAAACTCATTTCTTATTTTGTAGCACGTTAATGTGACACTTAAATCTGCAGCACACTCATTCATTATAAGCTGTCACAAGTCAGCTAGGAGATAGTGTGTTTATGTTTTGGCTTTTATGTGTTGTATTAGAGACTAAATGCATTCAATATGAGAACCTTTCATTCTTTACTGCTGTCTACAGCTCTGCAGGCATTACAATCTCAGATTTCTTCTTTTCTGCAAACATTTTTTACAGAATCCCTTCAAAACATGTTCTCTCATCTCCATCCCGGCAAGCTGGGGAACTGTCCGTTAATAAGGACTCTTTCCTAATTAAAAAACCCAACTTATTAATTCATTATAAGGAAAGAAAAACTAATTTTAGCGGAGGTCAAGTCAATACAGTCCCTGGTGTTAAAGAAAGTGTTTTAGGGTGAAAAGGCAATAGATGCATCTCCTAAGCAACCACCTTACAGTCAAAGCATGAGTCCAGATCTTTGTTATAACACTTACGTGTCCTCTAGTCAAGACCTGGTTTGCTCTTTAGCACTGAATAACTAATTTTGACCTGTGATAGCTGAAGAACGCTCAGAGCCCACTGCTCAGGCACTGTAACATTGCTGTAGTTTCTCAGGGTCAGTTATCTGTTCCCTGTAGAGATGATGCTCCTAAGAGTAGAGAAAAGGCCCTGAGGCCCTGTATGGGTCACCTAAGATTCCTACAACAAACTCAGCATTTTGTGCTGAGCACTCGATTCAGCATGGCAGTGTGCTGCTTTATGCAAGGGATTTGCAGAAATAATATTGAATATCCCTTTCATCAAAATGCAAATAAACATTGCAAATGCTCCAATGCCACCAGACACACTACATTGACCTGGTCCCAGAAATCTGTCATGTATGCCTGACTTCTTAATTTTATTTATGAAAATACAATTGCAACTACAGAGTCTATACTAGCTTGTATTTTGTGTTGATGAATAGTTTTGAGGCCAAATTTGGTTCAAGTTACAACAAAGCAAGTGCAAATATCAGACACAGTTACTTTCTCATTTGTACCCATGTACAAATGAGCTGATCAAAATCAGGCCTATCACAATTTTTTCAGAAAGTATAAATAACATTTTTGCGAGGATGAGGTCAGAGGTTCAAACATTACTGCCAATTAAACAGAATGAAACAACCTACCATAACCTGAAGAGACACCTAGAGCTTTCTCACTGGATCCCTTTTTCTCACTTTATTAAGATTTAATAAGGAACATAAGCACAAAATAATTTGCCACACTTGTGGGCTTAAAGAAAAAAAAAAAAAAGCCATAAAGCCAATAAAGAAAGAAAAATTCCATAGCAGCAAAGTTCATATCCCAACAACAAGCTTTTACATCCCTGCTGAGAACCCAACACAGATTTCTTCTAAGTAGATATAAGTTTGATGTGAACATTTTTTTAATGTTTTAAACAATCTAAAGACATTGAGGGAGAAGAAAACTGGCAGCAACCCACTGAAAATAAACTGCAAATCTAATATTTTATGCTCAGCAAAGCCAAATCAGGATCTTTTTAAGACAAGTAATTTAAATTAGTAATCTATTATTCTGTGGATAGGGAGCATTTCCTCCATCTAATCTATACACACATTATTGGATGAGAATCTAGGTTAAGTTAAACCATGCTTCTGCCTTTTAAAATACAATAACAAACTATCAAGAAAAAAAAAAGGAAATTTAAAAGATGATTAATCTTTTTGTCTTGTTTAATCAATTGAAATACACAACAGCATTTGAAAGGACGACCTTCAGGAATTGTGAGCAACACTAAGCAACAGACCTCAGTGATGAGATCTGTACCACCTCCCAAAGCAGTATGTTTTTTAAACTTCTATTCATGGACAATATCAGATTTTGGAAGAGACTCAATTTCAATTTAGACTTTGAATCTTTCTATTATATTCTTCATAAAAAATTACTTCGGTTTCAGCTGGCCTATGCCTGTAGCAAATTATCCCCCAACAATATGGTCTGGAGTCTCTTCCCGACTCTCTCACGTCTCAGTTGAAAGCCCAGAGAATGAAGAGTTTTGGGTTTCATGTGGTTTCGAGCAGGGATAAAATAAAGCAAGATGCCTAGGAATGAGTGCAGAGAAAAAAAGATGCAGAGTCAGTACAGTCTAAAGTAGGGTTAATGATACACTTTGCTCTGTAAAAACTTTCAATGCTCTTGGGTCTTAATGAATAATAACCAGTATTTACAATCACTCTTGCTTTATACAGCAACCAGTGCTTTGCAAGACTGCAGACATGTCTACCTTACACAATGCATTACTATACCTGAGATACCCAAACAAGTTCCACTTCAATTGGTACCTCTTGTATAGCACAGTCCAGCGCTGTGTAGAAATAATAGCTTGACCCCCAAAAAGAGCACAGCCTGGGCACAGTACTGCTTGGACTTGTCTACATTGCTTTTGTTTCCAGGGCTGGTTCTTTCAGAGACTTCTCAAGCATTTCTGCTTAGTACTTACTTAACTGTAGACATTTTCCCAAGTACCCAGAAGCTGGTATTGGGTTTTGTTTACTGCACAGGTCTGGCATCACAGAAAACTTTGTACCTTCACCCTCCTAATCAAGGATGCTTGGAAATGGTAAGTATCACACACAAGTCCCACAGATCATGAGATTTGCTTAACAATCATGGGATTTAAATAAATAAATGAATATATAAAAATGGGGTCTTATTTCCTTTTGAGATCTAATGGATTGTGTTTTCAAACTTTCCTCTTCAACCCCAAAGTCTACAAATGGACTTAAACAATTTTCTCATAAGAATATGACTGGAAGTTGAGGGTCTGAAAATACCAGATGTTGGGTGACTCATGATGATGCTGTGAGAGTTTGCAGTGTGTGGCCAGGAGGTTACAATATGAGGGTCTGTCAACATTGTCTGGTCTGGCCTATATTACTAGCAATATTTCCTGAAAGCTTTCAAGTTAAACTTGTTTTCCACATGAGAAACACGGATGCTTCTTTTGTTCCTGAAGTGAGTGTGCTGCCTAGTTTGCTTAATTAAAGCACACCATTAAGGATGTGAGCATGGCAATGACCCAACAATTGCTATTTTACTAAACCCTGTGAGGACCGCCCCGGTTTCAAGGGGCTAACTTGGGCTCCTGGAAAAATGTTCAACATCATTTAATAAGTTAGTTTCCCTGTCAAAGGAATGAGTTTTTAATACAGTAAATAGCAGAGTCTGGAGAATGTGCCCTGTGAGATCAGCTTAAACCAGATACAGTGTCTCAGCTAACTGAGATTTTCCATGTCATTATAACATTGCTATATAGCACTGTATCAGTGGACCTCATCCCAGTCATGAAAAAGACTTCCCTAACAAACTTAGATTAGTGATTATCATAAAATTAATTGATCTTTAATTATTCCTTTAACTTACTTCTTTGTTGGAGTCATGCTGACTGCCAGTGAGTTAATTCTTCTCTTAAGTCTGCTAATCATTCCTGAAGTCATGAATTCACACTAAACAGGAGTGCAGAATAACTAAGATTGGACATTATATCACTTAAAACACATGAACCAACTGTCCTCAATGTCTCCCAGACTGGCACTTCTCCACATTGCTGTAGATAATCTGGAGACCAATTAAGTAGTTAAGAGTTTTCCAGTGACTGAGCAGCTGGGGGGAGGGGTTAAGCATACTTAAAACAGAAGATAAACTTTCAATGTGATTATCTCTTGTAGTCCCTGTTTCTAACAATACATAAAGGAAAGTGAATGCATATGCTGAAGAATGTTAAGTGCTACATTTAATTAAGAAAATTAGTCTCTTATGAGAGTCAGAAGAACTAAGAATGATCCAAAGGGTCTCCACCCAACACTTAGCTAAAGAATCTACCCTAACTGTCATTAATGATCACACATGCACCAGTAATTATTATACATGTGGTCTTTAGGCCACTTCACTTGAGAGTTCGGGTATCAGATCATATCTCCAATGTCAGTAGTGCTGGCAACAATGAGTTCTTAACCTCAAGTTTTGTCATCATAGCTGATGAGTTACTAGAAAATCCAGCTTAAGTGTTAGACAAAACAGCAAGTCTCAAACTGGTCATGAATAAGTCCTACAGAGGGAGAATGTCACTCCATACTTTCCTTGGATTTGTAACATCTGGCAGGCTAGTGAGTACAGGGCAAGAACAGCTGTTTGAGAGAAGAAACACACAGACATGGAACAGCATATGTGCACACTGCGTGCAGTCCAGTCCTACCTCAGATAAAATGAGTTTATAACATCAT